TCAGTGTTTTATGATCTATTAACTTTTTCGCAATTTCATCGTCGAGGTTTTCCTATGGATGTCATATATGGCACCAAATCCGTTCAGTAATATAAAATTGTCTGCTGTATTCAACCGTTTTCTAAGATCAATAGTTAGAAACGACTTGCCGCAAATGTAGCCTATGGGTTTTGATGAAAACCAGACTTCTTTAGACCTTGTGGACTGGGGATGGAGCATCGCAAAGAAAGAACTGTACCAAATAACAGATACCATATTATTTGAGAACTTTCAACAGCAGCAACAGCTAAAATAGATAGCACATCTTGCTTGAAGAGAAACAAGAAGTTGATATTCCACACTACATCAAATAAACGGGTTGAAAAGAAAGATTCATAGATGCACATTTGTGCATACGTACAAGTATATATATATATATATATATATATATATATATATATATATATATATATATATATATATATATATATATATATATATATATATATATATACTAGGCGTAACAGCAAAATTGTCCAATTATTAGATTAAGATTTGAACGATTGTATCTTAGAAATGATTAAAGATTTCTTAACGGAATTCTCTAAGGTTTTTATAACACTATTGGACTCTACTTTGAGCAATAAGAATGTATAATTAATCTTTCAAGCTTAATCCAAGTATCGCCTGTGCCCCGGAGAGCTCAATTCAGTTGAAGAGCAATGCGTTAATAGCAGTAAGAGCAATTTTTTTCAAAATTACCCTTTTTTCGAGAGAGCTCTACCGGATTTCCCGGGAGGATATATATTGTCAACCACATACAGACTGTTTCGTAGTATGTATATATATATATATATATATATATATATATATATATATATATATATATATTCAGGATAATTTTCCAAATTATTCAAGATGATCTTCGCCCTTCCTAATCTTCTAACTTTCTGTCCTGAGCTAACAAGGGGCCTCACAGATTTCACGTACAATTTCATTTTCACTTCTCTTTTTCACTGCTCTTTGAACTGTCATAGCTGAAACTCTTCTCTCACGTGCCAAATGTCTTATGAATTGAGTTTGATCTCTTTTAATTGATCTCTTTAGTTCTAAGTTGAAATGATGATCCGTCTTGCTGTTGCGACTTCCTGTTCCAGTTTTCCTCTCTACTATTCCTTCTTTTTTAAGTTTATTCACCGTTCTCTTCATGGTTTTTAATGAACTTAGAAGACGGAAGCCAGAGTATGAATGTTGGTATCATGACTGATGACCTGAATGATCTTTTTCCTCTCACCATTGCTCAGTTGGAAAGACAATGGGGCTGACATAAAATGATTTTACCTTGTTCTCTTTCTAGCTGAAGAACTCAAAGGATTTTTTTAGTAATTCTAACGACAAATGGTTTCAATATGGCTAAACGTCTCATCTGAAAACCTGGAAAATGAAACTCAGTTTAGTTGGTTTTTTTTTTTAGATATTAAACATTTTGTGGGATGGGCAATTATGCTGTTACACGATTTGGACAATTTTGATGTTACACCCGGTATATAAACATAGAGGTAAAAATAGTTGGCCACCTCGAGGTGGTGTAATGGTTAACAAGCTTGTCTCGCTATAACAATGACGACTGAGTAGTGAGTTAGGTCCTCACCGTTTGCCCCATACTTTCGGCCTTGTGCCACAACTGAGCTACGCTTGGAAATTCACTACAAGTAAAAATAGTGTATACATATTTTAGGTAAGTATATATATTTTACATATATTTACAATTAGATATGCTCTAACGTTTATTTCCAACACAATATTGGGAATGAGAAAGAGCGATAACAGCTACTTGACTTGAGAATCCTATTTTCCTGAAAAACATTTGGAAAGGAAATATTTTATAAATTTCAAACGACAGTTGTACAATCTGCTCGGTTAATGAATGCCGAATGTTTCCTTATAAGGAAATGGCTAATATTAATATTGCCATTTTACTTTTCGGCTCATAGCTTTCTTGTAATTTAGCGTAATAATTTATCGTACATACAAACTCCTCACTTATAAAAAAGAAAAAAAAAAAGAAAATATCATTCAAAAACAATTTCGATTTTTCATCCAATCACACTTCTTCCAAATTTAAATCAAGCGCTTTTCTTCTAATCTTTTTTAGAACTTCCTCTAAGCAAAAGTAGTGCGGACGTAGGAGCAAGCATATGACGGAGCACAAATAGTTTTTCGACTAATTAAAGCGCAACTGACTACCTGGTTTTCGAGGTATAGCATTTAAAAAAACAAAAATACCAGCCAATAGTTCCTCGAAACGGACACATTATTCAAGTTATCACTCCATTACTCCTGCTTTTCGGTCAGCACATTACTTTTGGCTCCGCCGATTTTAAGTTGCAAAATTATCCTTATCACTCACGGTTAGCAACAGTTAGTTACTCTATCTACTTTAGCTTGCTTATACTTCGATGAAAACTTTCACAAAATGTTTTTAACGAAAGCTATAGTTATAAAAAGGACTTGTATTTATATGGAACTCAAAGCTCACAGAACAATCATTTTCTCTTTATTCTCTATTACTACAAAGACATTTTTATTTCAGAGCTACGCCGAAATTGTACCTGTTTTTCGTACGCGTTACTTATGACAAAGCATTTGTTTCGCTGATATTGAAATATCTGGTTAGCTTTGGTCCGGTACGTCCGTGTTATTTCTTTTTCTCTTTACCGCTAGAAATAGGAGAATCGAAATAAAAATTACCTCTGCTATATATTATATATCAAAGATAAAAATAAATATCGATGCATATTCTGTTGTGCATATATATATATATATATATATATATATATATATATATATATATATATATATATATATATATGTATGTATGTATATATATATATATATAGGGTGCGATGTATAAATTGTCTGAATTACGCAAACATGAAAATGACACTAACATCTCATTTTAGCAGGTATATTTAACAGAATTACAGAAAAATATCTTGAAATACAAAAGAGAACATTTATTCAATAAAATCACCATTGGCTTCAAACACAACATACAGACGACTTCGGAATCTTCTGCAACTCTTCTGGGCGGTCTCTTTGTTTATGTTCATCAATTCTGTCATAATCCTTGCCTTCAGTTCATCTTTGGTGTTACAAGGATTTTTGTTGGTCTCGCACTCAACTACGCCCCACACAATAATAATCTTGACCCAGGGCAGTACTACCTCATCAAAGCACTTGAGGTAGGTTATCGTGTTGGGTCTGAAGCCCTATGGCAAGATGAATGGGAGCATAACGTCACTAGTGATCACTTCAAACACCTTCGTAATCACCATGATACTCATCCAACTCTTTCCGAATCTTCTGCTCTGACTTTAAATTGACACCCAAACACACTGAAATATTCGTATTGGAACATCCGGCGAGAATGCCAAGCAGTACAGAATGTCGTTTTCAATTTTCTGACGGTGTGAATTGTGATATAATGCTCTTTTTCTCAGAGAAGTTTCCCCAACTGATCTTACTGTACTGCGCAGTGGACAAAATCAAAAAGAAACAAGGTGCATGCTTGGAATAAAAAATATAAAATGGCAACAAGTTACCCATCGCACACTGTACACATACATACATACACGCATATATCTCTATGTGTGTGTGTGTGTGTTGTGTGTGTCTGTGTATATGTGTGTGCTTTTTAAATCAGTTTACCCCAAGTAAGGCAATAAATCCACTAAGAAGCGGGAGATTACTGAGTCTGAAATAACATGAAAAAAGAAAACCTGATTAAGCAGAGAACAATAAAAGAAAAGGAATTAATAATTGAGAAGATATCCATTGACGTTGCATTTAAATTTCATTGCAAAGCAGCAGGCCAGAAGAAAGTTACACAAACGAGAAGACGGAAAGAAGAAAATTTTGGCATCGAACATATCAGTCTAAATATAATAATATCATCTTCTTCAGATTTTATCAAGAATCTCTAAGCAGAAGCACCATGTGACAGCAATATCAGTACATGGACGAATGGTACACCCACACCCACACCCACACGTGTGTGTGTGTGTGTGTGTGTGTGTGTGTGTGCTGTAACCTACGGAAGGTTACTGAATAGAATAATCAAACGAAGGTTGGTAATGAACAATAATACTTAGGACAAGAACAGCACAAGAGTAAGAATATAACATAAAACGCAAAAACAATAATATTCCATGGTTATAATTTATTACATTGGAATCGTAATCACGATCTAATTCATCAGACCTGGATCGTGATTACTATTCCACTGTAATAAATTATAACCATGGAATATTATTGTTTTAGTTTTATATTATATATATATATATATATATATATATATATATATATATATATATATATATAGTTTTGTTGTTACATTGTTCAGTTATTACAGGGACACACATTCCGTGTCCGCCATTTTTCTTGCGGTATAAATTTACCAGAAGACACATGCTTTCGACTTAAACACTCGACCAGCACTCCTACAACTGTCTCTCTTAATATCATATTATCTGTCAATTATTTAAGGTAGACATTTCGTATGCATTCATTTTTAATGCTTTTCTTCCTCATGTAGAACACCTTTCACCACGAGTTGACTGTTCTCACGCCTGCCACTTCAAGTAACTTTCTTATTTTTTGACTTATCACCGCAGACTTTCTAACATATTCCTGGAAGTAAACTATTTCAGTCAGTCAGTCAGTCAGTCAGTCATGTGTCATGGAGGATACACTGACAAGGCAGATTTTTTTCCCCGCTGTAGTTAGACCAGTTGCCATCCAAGATTATAGAACCAGGTCTGTCCTGCTATTTACACAGAAGAAGAAGATTCATCCCCTTATATTCTTACTCTATCCTGGACATTGCGTTCTACCTGGATTCTATCCTCTTGAAAATTTATATATATATATATATATATATATATATATATATATATATATATATATATATATATATAAATTATTAATTTATATTATAAATTATTATTAGATAGTTATATTATTATTATTTATATATATATATAAAAATCTGCCTCGTCAGTCATGTATCGAAAGATACATGATCGCCTAAGCGTGTATCACGTATGACGCATAAGTGACTGAGCTGTTAACGCTCTTTCCATTATTATATTATTAATATATATATACATATATATATATATAAATAATAATAATATAACTATTAAATAATAATTTATAATATAAATTAATAATTTATATACATATATATATATTATATATATATATATATATATATTAATAATATATTTTAATAAATATATATATATATACTTATCCGTCAATGGAAAAGTTAACATTCACACTTAGGCGTCATTTATATCTTTCGATACATGACTGACGAGGCAGATTTTTTTTCCCCAGTAGGTATCCATTTCTTTCTGCGGTAGACCAGTTGCTATTCGATGCTATAGAATTAGTCTGCTCTGCTAATTACTTATACTTTTCCCAAAAGTGAATGTAATGGATTCGAACGCGGCTCTCCGATTCCTCAATCCGATCCGCTATCCATTTCTCCACTGTGCCTCCAAGTAACTTAGTACCTCCTTCCTCCATTTATACTCTCGATCTCACATTTGTGTTCGGCATTCGGGCCTCTTTGTCATATATCTTCTTTCCCCTTTTTCCCCCATTTTGTTTATTTGCTTATTAATTCAGTGCAATTATCACATAAACCGAAGGATTTTTATTTCATTTTTGAGGTGAGTAATTGTCAATATACTTTTATAATTTCGAACTATTGTTTTCATCTTGATCGTTATAGATATTATTATAGACAGAATATTACGGCCAAATCCTCATTGATCATCATCAGGTATTCATTGTTTGTTTTATATAAGAAATATATTGATTATCATTTTTGTTTTGTTGTCCCTGTGACGTCGGTTATTGTTCGTTCCTGGTTCAGAGACTGAATTCATTACCAGTAGATGACACAAATGGAAACCATCCGTCATTGAATATAAAGGTTCCTAAATAAATAAGCCACTGATGTCCTTCGGGACGCTGGCATAGAGTAGAATATGGTTAAATATGTGTTCATATCATCCGGTGGTCAAGGGTTCAATCCCAGGATCAGGAGGTGAAGCACTGGATCAACAGAAACATATAATAACTGATACCAACAGATACTTCATATCAGCCTACTAATTAGGTGTAACGTTGCTTCAACAATAAAGATAAGGACAATAGTCCGAAATAAAGGGACAATCCCTCATCAGTAAGATCACGCCATGATAAACAGATCCCTCAACTATCTGACAGTGAATTTGAATCCACCAAAAATAAACCATTGATATCCTTCGACAAGGTGACCTAGTGAATATTAGAGTTGATTAAACATGTGTTACTTTGATCTATTGATTGATTAATTTTTATTTTCGGAGGATTTAAATTTAAACAGTTATTATCCGTTTCTGTTGATCCAGTGCTTTATTTATCGAATCTTGGATGTTACAAATGCTATTATAGACAAAACGTTTCGACCAATTACCCTCGAGCGATCATCAGGTGTCCATTGTTTCACTTCTGATTGAGCTCTTACGCTCACATAACGTTAAAACACCGGTTTCCGTACGACCACTAATGTTAAGCAGCGTCGAGTCTGGCGAATACTTAGATGGGTGACCGCTTAGAAAGAGAAGTGCTGTAAGCTTGTATGTGCTGGTGGTGTAAAGGATAATTTCTTGCAATTGTCTCATAGGAGAACCGAGTTTCAATTCTCGTTGAGTTCATTATAATAACTTACGCGAAAATACACTTATTATCGATGGCTGAATTGCAATCAAAGAAGTTAAAAATCGTATAGGAAAAGCTAATGGAGTCTTTAAAAGATTCCATACTGTCTGATCTTCAAATAAGATTAGTATCCGAGTGAAACTCAAATTATATGATTTCATTGTCCTCTAATATTTTATGTATTATCAACCCTTTCAGACAATTTAAAGATAGTAAATATTTTTTAGATTATAAGATTTTTGATTTTTTAGATAATAACGGTTTAGTGGCACAGGTCTTACTAATTAACCCATAGATGGATAAGTGGACCCATACCTTTAACAAGTGCATTTTCGCGTAAGTGATTATAATGAACGCAACGAGAATTGAACCTCGGTTTTCCTATTAGACAATTGCAAGAAATTATCCTTTACACCACCCACAGATCCAAGATTACAGCAGTTGGTCTTTCCAAGCGGCCACCCATCTAAGTATTGGCCAGAATTGACGTTGCTTAACATTAGTGGTCGTACGGAAACCGGTGTTTTAACGTTAGGTGACCGTAAGAGCTCAATCAGAAGTGAAACAATGGACACCTGATGATTGCTCAAGGGTAATTGGTCGAAACGTTTTGTCTATAATAGCATCTGTAACACCCAAGATGTGATAAATATTGCGAAACAACAAAAGTGTACAAATACAAATAGAGTAAAATTATCAGGAAAACGTTACCTTGCAGAATAAAATTTGATATCGTTTAAATTTGTTATTTGTGTGTGTGACTTGGTGTGTGTGTGTGTGTGTGTGTGTGTGGATTGGTGCATGTGCGTGCGGATTGGTGCGTGTGTGTGTGTGGATTGGTGTGTGTGTGTGTTTGTGGATTGGTGTGTGTGTGTGTGTGTGTGTTTGTGGATTGGTGTGTGTGTGTGTGTGTGTGTGTGTGTGTGTGTGTGTGTGTGTGTGTAGATTGGTGCGTATGTGTATGGATTGTTGCGTGCGTATGTCTGTGTGGATTGGTGCGCATGTGTAAGGATTGTTGCGTGTGTATGTGTGTGTGGATTGGTGCGTGTGTGTCTGTGCAGATTGGTGCGTGTGTGTGTGTGTGGATTGATGCGTGTGTGTCTGTCTGTGTGGATTGGTGTGTGTGTGTGTGCGTGGATCGGTGCATGTGCGTGTGGATTGGTGCGTGTCTGTGTGTGGACTGGTTCGTGTATGTGTGGATCGGTGCGTGCGTGCGTGCGTGTGCGCGTGTGTGCGTGTGTGTGTGTATGTGTGTGTGTGTGTGTGTGAATTGGTGCGTGTGTGTGTGTTGATGTGCCTGCGTGTCTTTCTCGTTCATTCCACTCATTATACCGTTTTATTTCGCCTTGTCGTACACGTTCGATTTTTACAATAATCGGTCTCCATAACAACTCGTCTCGGCCGTTTGAAAATTTCACATCGCCGAGACAGCGACAGCTCAAACAAGGTGCCACACGAACGGACCTGGAGACAGACCAACCAACCAACCGACCAAGCAAGCGATCTCCATTTTGGCGGGCACGGATAAAATAGAATCAAAGAGAGAGAGAGAGAGAGAGAGAGGTTGCGATTTGGCGCCTGGGTAGTCATGGGTGTGGTTGCGGTAATGGTAATGAAGGCACTAATCAGATTTTTCTTGGAACACCAAGCCCTCTCTTAGTATCTCAAACCCCCGACCGACCTACACTCACACACGGCATCTCTTCACTCGATTCTCTAACCTGAGTTTGATCTGATTTGTCTTCTGATACACAGAATATCACTCAATCATCGACCGGCCCCTTTGGTGCCGTGAAAGGCTGACAATATCATCGATTATTTTTTTCCCTTTTCTCTATTTGACATTAAAAAAAAACTTCCTTTCTTTTTCAATCCTTATCTTTCTTTTTTTTTTTTTTTTTCGTTTCTTTTTAACCAACCATTTTTCTTTTGTCTTTTTTCTTTCTATTTTACTGCTTTTTTATTTTTACTTTTCTTTCAGTTCTTCCTTCTTTGCTGTACTTACCTCTCCTTTCTATCATTTTTTTTCTTTTCATTCTGTATGACATTCATTTTTATATCTCTCTTCTTCTTTATTTCTTTTTTAATTTCTTTCTTTCTTTTTCTCTTTCACGTCGTTCGTTATTATCTTTTTCTTTTTTCGTTCTTTCTTTTTTCATATCAGCATGGAGAGTGGATTTGTCAAAAAAAGGAAGAAATTAAGAAAGTGGGGAAGGAAGAAGGGAAGACAGGAAAGAAAATTTCCTGCTTTTCCTCCTTCCTTCCCTCCTTCCTTACTTTCTTCCTTTCTTTTTTTCGTGACGTTCTTTAATTTAATATCTTTTTTTTTTTACTTTGTTTCTTTCTTTTTTTTCTTTGTTCTTCGTTCCGTCCATTTTTTTTCTTTCTTTCTTTCTTTCTTTTTATGCTGTTCCTTTAATATTTCTTTTTATCTTTCTATGTTTCGTTCTTTTTTGATGCACTACTTTCATAGTATGCCTTTTTCTTCCTCTCTTTCATACCATTCGTTTTTATTCTTTCTTTTTTATTCTTTCTCGTTTTTTCTGTCTTTTTCTTCCTTTCTTAAATGTTGTTCCTTTCTTTCTTTCTTTCTTTCTTTCTTTCATTTTTCTTTCTTTCTTTAATTATTCTTTCTTTCATTTTTTCTTTTTTTTTCTTTCATTCTTTTTTTTTCTTCTTTCTATCTGTTCCTCTTCGCTCATATTGCTACATTTAGAGTGTCCTTAACTTTTTGAGATCTCAATTTCATTTTCAATCTCTCAAACTATGATAGATGACCAGGCGTCGCACACTCTAATGGATGGAAAGTGCTTGTTTGTACCATTACTCGACCGACTGCTTGATTGGCCTCCAATTTTTTTTTTTTTTTTTTCGGGCAATTCGGGACTGATCAATAACCCAACGTTTTACGATGTATCGGCGAAAAACAGACTTTAATGAACGCTTCACAGCAACTTTTTTTCAATAACATTTATCCTCGGTTTCAGATTTCACGCGTCCTGGGTAAGACGATAAACTACATCCGCGTCCTGGGTAAGACGATAAACTACATCCGCGTCCTGGGTAAGACGATAAACTACGTCCAACAGCATGGCCTCTGATCAGCTTTTGAGGAGCGTGGAATCACCTCTTAATTGCTGTGTTCACAGGTGCACCCAGACCCGGGTTGCTAGCATCTGTTAGGGTCCCAGCTATGGGCAAATAGCTGACCTTTAAACTGGGGTCAAAACACCAAGGAGGTTTTAAAAAAATAGATTTAGATACCAGCAATAGATTTTTGTAAAAGGTTATCACCAGCAATGAATTTCTGAAGAAAAATGATTACCAGCAATACATTTAAAAAAGATATTAGCAACGATACATTTTTGAAAAGAAAATATTAGCAGCAATATATTTTGAAAAAAATATTAGCAATATATTTGAAAAAAATAAAAAAATTAGCAAAAAAAAAATTAACAACAATACAAAGAAAATATTAGCAGCATTACATTTTGAAAAAAATATATTAGCAGCAATATATTTTGAAAAAAATATTAGCAGCAATACATTTTTGAAAAGAAAATATTAGCAGCAATACATTTTTGTCAAAAAATATCATTAGCAATAAAAATCTTGTCGGCATTAAATAACCCATAGAGGTAAAGCAAACCAAACCAAACCAAATAAGATTTCACCTAACGTTGCTTCAACTTCCCACTACACTATCACAACTTCTTCCTTTTTTTTTGTCTTTCATTTTCATTTATTCTTCAAAATCGCCAACATTCTCTTATTGTTCTTTCTTTCTTTCTTTCTTTCTTTCTTTCTTTCTTTCTTTCTCACCGTTTGGGTTTTCACGTCTTTAGTCTCTTCCATGCATCTGAGAAACAAAAAATGAATCCCTGAAAAATATCATCTTCATTCAACTTCTTATCTTACCGAATTACCTTGTTCCCTTGTTCCTCCAACCGTCGTCCAACAAAAGATCACAATTTCCTTCCACTTAGATCGAACTTGGGAAAATCGCGGAACACGGAATCAATTGGTATTACTTTTTATCAGCGGATCTTTAATTGTAGTTTTGATTGGTTTATTTTGTTTAATGGCATATCAACACCTCAATGGGTTATTTAATGCCGACAAGATCTTTAGGATAGGCTCGTATGAATAGAATATGTATTCTTTGTAAGAAGTCAGTTTGTAGATCAGGTTTCATTGACGTATTTTTTTTAAAGAGGGCTTTTGTCGAGAGTCAAATGTATTCCTGGCAATATCTTGTTCCAAAAATGTATTGCTGTTACTTTTACTATAAAAATATATTTTTATACTTTCATAGTGTTTTGACCCCAGTTTGGGGGCTAACTATTTGCCCATAGCTGGGACCCTAACAGGTGCTACCACCCTGTGTCAGCGTGGACCTTGGAACAACAGAAATTAAGATGTGGTCCCATACTCCTCAACCCTCCCGATCAGAGGCTTGTTGTCGGATGTAGTTTATCGTCTTGCCGAGGAGCTCTTTAATTGTAGCGCGCCATGTCATTTTAAGACAACCCCTTGGCTTTTTGCAGCCTTGAGGTATCCAGTTTAGTGAAACTTTGCCTGGCTGTCAGTTGTAGGCTATGTCCAGTGAACTGAATACATCACCATTACACTAAGGTTTCTAGAATGTTCTCGTCTTAGCATTTTCTCAATCCTGATTGTATCATTCCTAGACACCTTTAGGATTTTGCGATGCATTTTAAATGGAACACATCTAAGTGCTGGGTAACTTTTGTGGTGAATTTGCAAGTTTTACATGCATATAAGGCATTTGAGAGGACAATAGAATCATATAATTTGAGTTTCACTCGGATACTAATCTTATTTGAAGTTCAGACAGTATGGAAACTTTTAAAGACTCCATTAGCTTTTCCAATACGATTTTTAACTTTGATTACAATTCAGCCATCATTAAATTTTATTTGTTATTGAATCCAACTCAAAATCGCTGGACGTTTCCGCTGTCGGCTGCAAATCCTTTTTTCTGCTGTCTGGTGTCGCAATATTTTCAATTTTTTTTTACTTACTTTGAAGCCTCAGTAGTTTCGTATATTTGATCTTTTTTTATTGTGCTTCAGTTACTTTTTTGACCTACATTTGCGTCTCTGAGGTTATCAATCAAAAATCCAATACATATATAATAATAAAAAATATCCCTCACAAGAATTCTCTCTCTCTCTCTCTCTCTCTCTCTCTATATATATATATATATATATATATATATATATATATATATATATATATAGGGTGCGACAAATGTAAGGCCCATGTTTATTTACTAACTTTTATTGAACCAAAATAAATTGCAGTAGTTTAAAATGGCTTAAGATTTAAGTATGGCTGACGCGTTCGGAATTGGATGAATTTTAATTTCGAGCTGAGGTGGATAGGAACATGGACGAATCGGGTGGCCTTGATGATCACCAAACCTAACACTACCAGACTTTATTCTTGTGGGGTGAAATGAAAGATTAAGTTTACAGACTCAAACCGAAAACAATTACTGAATTAAGACAATTTCTGATAAATTTTCTGAAATATCATATCTGTGTGTGTGTGTGTGTGTGTGTGTAAGTGTAAACTTCTTTTATCATTCTTATTTCCCTTTCTTCTTAAACCATTACCTGCCGTAAGCCTCATTTGGGGATCTGTTAAAATTAAACTCACTACATGTTATTTCTTGTATTTACATTGAATTGCTTACATACATTGCATTTGCAGAGTTATATTTTACAACACTTAGCCTTTAAAGTTTTTATTATTAGACACTGTCGTAATTTTACTTTTCACGATTAGAAAAATAATGACTATTTTGAAAAGCATTTTTTTATTATTTCTAATCAATATTATTTTTTGATGTTTTATACACATATATATTTGATGTTCTTGTTTCTATAAAAACGACAATGGTAACTACTGAAATTAAACATAAGGAACTCCTAAGACACCTGTCTGGGCCAAAAATACGCATTAAAAAAATTTGGCAGTTAATGGGTTAATCTCCTTCTCGTCTTTTCCGTATTCTTCCCCATCTCTCTTTCAGTTTTTGTTCTCTTCTCTACCTTTTTTATGCACTCTCTCTTAAACATTTATTTAACTATTTTCGTTTACCTTCTTCCATTCCACGTCTGCTGTTTTCTCTCTCTCTCTCTCTCTCTCTCTCTCTCTCTCTCTATCTATCTATCTATTTATCTATCTATCTATCTTAATCTCTAAACGTATGTTAAACCACACAAATTTCGTAGCGAGTAATCGAAAACAGAGCGTATTTTAAAATTGGTTTGATTTGGTTTATTTTGTTTTACGGTATATCAACCTCAACCTGGATGATTTAATGCCAACAAGATTTTTAGGATAGGTTCGTATGAATAGAATATGCATTCTTTGTAAGAAATCACTTAGATCAGGTTTCATTGACGTATATTTGTAAAGATGCTTTTTGTCGAGAGTCAAAACTATTGGTAATTTTCAAAAATATATTGCTGTTAATATCTTATTTTCAAAAAAAATATTGCTGGTATATTTAATGCATAAAAATATGTAATTTTAATACATAAAAATATTTTTATACTTTCATAGTGTTTTGATTAGTTATCTGCCCATAGCTGGGATTTCAAAAAGCTAAACAAATTATTAAGAAACGGGAAATTTGCTAAGAAATGAAAAAAATGGTTGAATTACTACGTAATACCAATCCTCCTATATGGCATTGAATAATTGACATTTTTCTCACCGATGTAGGGCATTCTTGGTTCTGTGATGGAATGGCCGTAAAAAGATTACCTTCCCCAAATTTATAGACAAAACATGCAGATGTATGCTGGGATTTCTTCATAGCCAAGAAGAGAGACCACTTTTCAGTTTCATCCGTTTTAGTTCTGTTCCTTTTCATTTTGAAGTCAGAACGCTGCAATCTCTTGCCTCTCTCCTCTTTTGTGTGCTAACACTATTCTTAGCTTGCGAATATTTGATTTATTAATGTTATTTGCCTTGCATATATCGCTAGCACAATATTGTTTTTTTTTTCTGTTCTTTTCTTTTCTTTCTCTTGTTATTGTTTATTGCAAACTTTAACAATTCTCTTTGTTGGCCATTTCTGCGAATTGCATTTAACCATAGCAGATTATCTCCAACATACATGGACCTTCATAGATAAGATTCGACAAAAGTATGCTGGGAATACCATGGATGGAATATGTAAGCAACGATGAAGTTTCAAGGAAAATTGTAACAAAAGGGAAAACTTGTTCTTAGAATAAAAAACAGAGATGGTTGAACTTACTGGGATACGTGATAAGGAAAGTTTTGTAAACTAGGGAAGGTTACTGAATAGAATAATCATAAAAAGGTTGGTAATGAACAATAATACTTAGAACAAGAACAGCACATATAAGATTTGCCAGCAGTAAATAGAAGAAGTAATCAACTGCAAGAAGTGAGTCAAGTGAATTTTACAATAGATTTCCAACTGCACACCAACATACAGTATTTACTACTGTATTTATGTGAATGGGGACATACCCATTATCTTCCGTAGATATGCTACAACAGAAAGAGATTCTGTAGAATTTGGTACTCACAGGACAGAATGCAGGCAAGAAGGGCGGGGGAAAACTTAGAGCAATCTACCGAACGAGCTTCAGTAAATGGTGCAAGGCAGAACAGAGAATAGAGAATAGTAAAGCAACAAATACGGCTGAGATCTACAAAAGATAGGAAGTTATAGAGAGCCATGATCGACCGCGTTCTTTAGGGGCGCAACAGATAAAAGAAGTAGACTTTTTTCGCTCCTATATTCCTTATCAGCAAAAAGCATTCTTAGTCTGTACTCAGCTTCTATAAATAATGTCTTTGGTACAAGAAGACCAACTCCAGAATGTCTTGGCGGTATATCTGTAGAAACACTGATAAAAAGAAAACTGCAATATTTTGCTTTTCCCGTCTCTCTTCGGGTTCGAAATCCTGACTTCCCTGCTACCCTTATCAACTAACCTCTTGAGGCAATCACTAAATCCATTTCTCTTTTTACGGACATATCAGTAGTTCTGGTAATTAACCAAAGAAATCTCATTTGCATAGAACTTTTTATTAAAAAAAAAAACGTTCGAAAAATTCTAATCGTCAGCTGTTGACAGAAAGTGCGTTTACTGTTGTTCTATTTGTAGGTGCAAAGATGTTTCTTTAACTTTCTTTTTAAAATAAAACGTTTATTTATGGTATGGAGTTTACCCCGACCTATCAGGACGCACGCTAAGTGGTGTTCTGTTCAGGATTATAAAAGTAGCTAATATGAACCCTAATCCTGTCTTTTTATCCACCAGGAGATATTTTTCCCCTAGCAAATTGTCTACTTAACTACGTGGACATCCAACACTTGCAAACACGCAGACTCAGGCTAAGAACTTCTTTCCTTTCTTTTAACTATTTGTATACACGTACCGTATTTGACGGCATATGAGGCGCACTTTTTTTTTTTACATCTTTTAAAGTTCCCCTGCGTTTTATATGCCATATGTAGATTTAAAATTCGCGATATCAGCCGAAAGTAGCTACCTGGAAACTCCTATTAGCTTAGACTTAAACATGAAGGCGCAAAGGAACACGTAGATGGCAATGCCTGATCACGACCTAAGATTTACAGGAAGAATAAAAAGACCCAGCATTACTCAAGTCTGCGAATTGGTGAAGCAAGCTTGGGATAATATTAGACCAGAAATTGTTGTGAAATCTTTTAAAAAGTGTGGCATTAGCAACGCTCTCAATGGAACGAAAGATGACGCATTATTTAACGACGATGATAGTAGTATTGAAAATGAGTAACGAAGACGACGTATTTTATGGATTTGAAGATGAATCAAATTTTAATGGTACTGTTTTGCTCAATTGGAATAATTGCTTGATTTTTATTTTGTTTTCTTACCTTTGGATATAATAATGGTTTTATAGGCTCGTGTTCTTTTTTTCCTATTATTTTTCGTTTAATTGTAATCATGGCTTGTTTAACCAAAATAATGCCTCAAAAATATAGCCTAGGCTGTACCATTTACTAATACTTTTACTAATGTTACTAATTACTACTTCTTTTTTTTTATTTTCCCTGCAGAAATTGGGGTGAGTCTTATACACCTGTGTGTCTTATATGCCGTTAAATACCGTATATATAATTTTGCTTTTTATCTGTTGTGAGCGATGTTGTTCTTTATATGAATATAGGTATAAAAATTCTACATGTGTTGAATTTTGCGTGTTCAAATCGTGTGGGGCTTACCAAATTATAGTGACGTGGGGCTTAGGGTTTAAAATAAACAGCTGATTTACCCATGCCAAGAAGATTAGTGAAGGATGGTAATGACGAGGAAACACATGGGTAATTTTAATAAAACGAAGGATTTAGTTACGAATGTACACGCTTGAAGTAGCTCGTCAGTAGCTCATTTCTGGAAAATAGATCAGAAAATCTTCAGAAAATGTCCGTGTTTTAACGAATTGTCCTGAAGAGTACATTATTTACATTATTCGGACTAGTGTCCTCATCTTTGTCGCCATATTTATCGCAACGTTTCGGCCGTTGTACGCTCCGGCCTTCTTCAGGTGGTTGGAATGCCGAACTAAACCCTTTTTTTCACTCACTGGGGTAGACTGTTCTAGTTCCACGTGCCATGCCTGATGGATGTCATCTATCAGTTATCTCCTGTTAATTTTCCCTCTGAAAGTTCTTCACTGCCTTAACCGGGTATTGAACTCACACTCTTTGGGTCTGTCACTGGATCTAACCAACACCTTTATCCACTGTGCCATGTGTCCTTGGATATGAATTTCTGGGTATTATAAACCTAATGTCTTCAGCAACCATTTTTACTAGTGCTCATATTGCAATTTTTGTTATCAATACATGTTTTTACCAGAGCTCATATTGCAACTTTGTTGTTATCATTGCTTTTCTCTGTCCTGAAGAGGAAATGTTCATACAACAGATTAAATGATCTGACACAAATAATTGTTCCCAGAAGAGATATCGGAATACATACATTCAAAAGTAAAACGAAGAGATAGTTTCAAATAGTTAGTTTTCTTGGTTTGCTGAAGGAAAGTTCTTTGAAGTGTCGTGTGCTTGGTTAAAAGCCGATAATATAATATAATTGCCGGGTAACTTGACACCGGTGAAAACTTCAACGCTGGACCTGGTGAACAAAAACGAAACATTTCTCATGACTTCAGATACTTTTCTCTTATTTATTGATTCTTTCTCCTCGTTTTATATCAAAAGGGATTTCACATAGGCTCGCTGGTTTCATTTCTTTCTTCTTCTTGGCTAATTTCTGTGGAGACAATGTTTTCATTTGTCCAAAAAAATTTCACATAGGCTCTCGAATTTATTTCTCATTTCTCCGAAATTGAAGGGAGTTGGGTAAAGGGGTTTATTATTATTTCGTACTTACTACAAATTCGTCTATTCTGAAAATCTCCATCCTCATCATTCCCCAAGTCGTAACAACTTTCACTGGAAAATGGTAACCAGCAGCAACTTCTTCCATAGCAATCATACAGCATCTCTTTGCCACAATGGTCTCTATGACTGAAGTAGTTGCGTATTTTCTTAATGTTGACATTGGTTGGATTTGTAAATTTCCCTGATTATGAAAATAGCCGCAGCATAATCGTATTCTAATTGACTAAACATTGCACCGTATATCAGATATTAATGAAATTCGTTGCTCGATATAGAATCATTATACACAAATAAAACGAGGTGGACAGTGAATTTATTGGTTCTCTCTGTCAAACTACACGATTATTTATTTTTTTTAATTCGATTATTGTTTCTTTACATCTTTGGTTTATTTAATTTTAGTTATTTTGGAGGAAACATGTCTTTCAAGGAAAGAACATTTTTCTATTTTCTTATTTCAGTTTTTATTTTTTTACATCAAGATTTTACAAGCAAACGGTGGTATATTTACATTTGTTTTCATAGAATCAAAATGGCATAATACATAAAGAAATATCTAAGCGAGTCTCATCCATTTTTCCAAAACATGAGTTTAATACCTTTTTTCAAGAAAGCCAATTAAATCCTATTAAAAAAAAACACCGAAAAACTAGTTTCCTCCATTTTACAGGAAGTGAATTTAATCCATTAAAAAAAACGTGTTTAATCCATTTTTCTAACAAACGTGTTTAATCCATTTTTCTAACAAATGAGTTTAAT